GAGCCTTCTCTTCTCCAGGCTGAACAAGCCCAACTCTCTCAGCCTGTCCCCATAGCAGAAGTGCTCCAGCCCTCTGAGAATCCTCATGCCCCTCCTCTGGATTCTCTCCAACTGTTCCATGTCCTTATGTCGGGGTCCCCACAGCTGGACACAGTACTCCAGGTGGGGTCTCACCAGAGCAGAGTAGAGGGGCAGAATCCCCTCCCTCGACCTGCTGGCCACACTTCTCCTGATACAGCCCAGGATACGGTTGGCTTTCTGGGCTGCCAGCGCACACGGCCGGCTCATGTTCAGCTTTTCATCCACCAAACCCCCAAGTCCTTCTCCTCAGAGCTGCTCTCGATCCACTCTCCACCCAGCCTGTACTTGTGCTTGGGATTGCCCCGACCCAGGTGCAGGACCTTGCCCTTGGCCTTGTTGAACTCCATGAGGTTGGCAGTGGCCCACCTCTCCAGCCTGTCCAGGTCCCTCTGGATGGCATCCCTTCCCTCCAACGTGTCGACCGCACCACACAGCTTGGTGTCGTCGGCAAACTTGCTGAGGGTGCACTCAATCCCATCATCCATCCCAGCACCCAAAGTTGCTTCATTTGGGCACATGTGTTGCAAATGCAGTCTCTCCATTACACTTGTACTCCACACTGCTTATTTTTGGGACCATTTTCTTAGAGAATATCAATTAACCAAGATCAGTTGTTAGTTGTCTTTATAGTCTATACTCATAAAAGATACCTGTGTAGGATAATGAAGAAGGAACTTAAAACTGCAGTACAGATATCTAAAACTTTGTAATCCATGTTTTGCTTGCAGTTCTTCAGATTTATTAACGTATGACTCAACCACAAACTAAAAATTAAATTCCTCTTCTGCCATACTACTAAATTCCTGAAATATCAGATATGCACAACCTTTGTGCACTATGCATTTTCAGTGCCTGAATATAGATTTAAAATTTGGAGCTATAAGATGCTGGTCCAGGTAAATTTAAGAGGAACACTTTTGAATATTGGACAGTATTTAAATATTTTCTAAAAATAATGTATCTAGATTTTGCCAGCTTCAGTTGATTGAATATACGTTCTCATTGTTTGTTCAATAAATTCATCATTGTACAGTGAATTGGACTAGGGATATATGCAACTATGATTATATATTTTATATATATATACACACACATATATATATGAATTTGTCAGTAATGTTGGAAACATTTTAGTTCAGCCTTAAGTTAATTGATAAGTTTATCTAAATAATCCCATTCCTTACATAGAACTTGTACTTCACTTCCAGACCTTCACCTGGACTATTCATTAACTGATGAGTTCTGTAAAAATCACTTCTTAGTGGGACTGCTTCTAAGGGAGGTGGGCAATGCATTACAAGAGTTCAGAGACGTGCGGCAGATTGCTATTAGTGTGCTCAAGAATTTGATGATAAAGCATTCTTTTGATGATAGATACGCTTCCAGGGTAAGTGTATTGCTTTGGTAGTAGTACAAAGGATTAAGTGTGCACACATGCAGAAAACTCTTTTTTATATATAAAAGTAATACTATTGCAGTAATACTATTTCTGTTCAGATTGTGATGACAATATGTATGAAAATTATATCAAAATCAATCTGAAAATCGCATATTTTTACCAAATGAAAGCACAAAGCAACTTTTAACATAGTTGCGTGTGTTGTTTACATTTTAGCACAGCATAATCTAACTGTTGGTTTTAAAATAATCAGATTTTAATAAACATTTTTAAAGCCCTTATTTTCATTAAACATTAGCTCTTAATATTTGGTGGCTGTCCTTCCATCATCATCATTTGTGAAATGACTATAAGAAAGCTACAAGTCATGATAGTAAATTTAGAGTGATTTTTAGTTTTTCTGACTTTATTTTTAACATCAGCTGTGCTGTGGAGAAGCCATACAATTTTAATGGAAAATATTAATTTATCAAGCTAACATAATATTAATTGGTTAGTCTTAGCTAAAATCACATTCATTTAGGGGTTTGTTCTGCATTATGTTGAAAGACTAAAGTGTACTGACCTCCTGTAAATTAGAATGAAATACAGTGGTTCACTGCTGTTGCCGTTTATGAACTATGTCATTTGTGAACTTAAAAATGTGGCTTCTGGCTTGGCAAATATTTATTAAATGTTCCTTTTTTGTAATTTAGGAGTAAATAACTTTAAAAAAATTAGTGATTAAAGATTAAATCTGTAATTTGTTAATGAAGTGTTGAACTCTCTTTAGAGCCATCAAGCAAGAATAGCCACTATGTATTTGCCGCTCTTTGGACTGCTCATAGAAAATGTACAGCGAATTAATGTTAAAGATGTGTCTCCGTTTCCTGTTAACCCTTCCAGCAATGTGAGTGACCATTTCTATTTGGTATTCTGAACATTTTTATCACAGTTTATTGGTAACATGTATACCAGACAATGTGTACTTACAGCGAACAGAGCTTCATAAACTTCAGAGTTCTGTGAGCTTGTTCTCCTTCCTTTCTGTGAGATTAAAAGCTTAGTTAACCTTCATGGGCTTGGTTGCAGTTTCTCTGGTCCAGCTAAGTTATGTCCAACGTGACAACTGGCTGGTTTGGTCCTACACACAGGTTCTAGTGCCTTTATTGATCTTGAACCTCTGAATATTGTTGGAGAATGCTGGACCACAGAGATTGCCACAGCACCGTTGTAATGCCATGTGATTATACTGCCATGTCACATCTTGCTTTTGCTGTATCTCTGGTGAACATGCCTATATTTCAATACAGGCATATGACTGGATGCGCTGCATCTTTCTGAGCAGCCAGAGAAGCTGAAGGAACAGTGTATTTGAAGTAAAAAATAATGTGTTTTTGGTGCAATTTAATGACCTTCCTTTTATATCTATTAACCAGTTTTGATACACTTTCTGTGAGAGGAGAATTATTTAAATTGTCTCTGTTCTTTACTCAAAAGTGACACTTCCTTTTAGTCTGCCTGCTAGTTTGCCTAAACAGTTTGCCTCTCTTCTTGAGATCCTGGCAGTGGAGGTATTTGCACATACTTCATTTTTATGCAGGAGGATACTCCCTGAACATCTAACACATAGAGAATTAGTTATGATTGCTAACATCCCAACACATACAGTAGCTGCTGTTACTGTTAGCAGGAAAATTGTCTATTAGTGTTAGATTTTTTTTTTATCTTGTTTTCCAATTCAGTCCAACAGTGACCTAAATGGACCACAAAAAATTTGGTTAATTTTGAGACATTAGTGAAGAACTCTTAACCTTGAGAGTGTGCACTATAGGAGAATTGATTCAGTTGAATTTGCAAAGATGTATTTTTAATATATTATGGTGGCATATATTTATTGAACCCAAGATTTAATTATCATGTAATTAATTTTTGTCCATATCTTGCTGTGTTCCTTTTGGTATTAAAAAAAAAAAAGTTCACAATACCCTTCCAACAAGAGAAATGCCTGGGTGTTTGAAATAAAAGTAATTTGGGTCTTTTGGAAATACCTGTTTGATAATGTTTAAAATTCAATGGAATATTTCTTTCTTTGATGTTTCCTGGGGTATCTTAAGTTTTAGGCTATCCCAAGCCTGTGCAAATACCTGAACACCTAATTCCATCCTTTTGAGCCTATTTAATAGAAATTAAAATTTAAGAAAGAAACGTATAACCGATACTGCTCTCAAAGATAACACGTCATATTCAGTAAATCCATAATGTTGGAAAACAGTAATCACATTTTCGTCTCTTTTCCGAACAGAGTGCAAAGGATGATGCACTTAATTTGCCAACTGCAAGTCAGCTAGTAACACCACAAAAATCAGGAAACACATTGGATAACAATCTTCCTAAAGATCTATTTGGTGTTATCTCTGGCATTGGTAAGCACTTTAAAAAAACAAAATGAAAAAGGAAGCAGTTTCCTTTTTCACTTGTTACCAGAAATAATTGTTCTGTGTCCAACTTGGTTCCTTTCTGCATGTATCCTGGGATGTTATTGCTACTTTAATTAACAGAACCCTGATGCATTCAGCTCTTCAGCACTGATTGGAATTCACAGCCTGTACATGAAATCTTTCTTTTGGGATTTTTTTTTTTTTCTATTTGAAACTAAAGTTATTTCCTGGAGAGAGCTGCTGCTGTTTTTTTCCCTCATCAAATAGTTCTTGTCTTGCTGACGAGCAGTAGGAGGCAAGAATAGCCTCGGTCACCCATGGCAGGAGTGCCGTAATCCACCATTTTGTCCGTGGTGCTGGAGACCACCTCTGAGTGGAATGCTGCTTGTGCACAGCTGTGGGCACCCTCCTGTCTGTCATCTTAGTGTGGTTTTCTGTTTGTTGTTCTCTGCTGTAAATGGTTGTGACTTACTAGTCATTGAGAAAAATGGGGAAGGGGAGTTTTTTTAAATACACATGCTTCTTCACTTAAGTGTGTGTATTGCTACATATAATTTTGCTACATAGATTAGATATCAGGAAGAAGTTCTTCCCGGAGAGGGTGGTGAGGCACTGGAACAGGTTGCCCAGAGCAGCTGTGGATGCCCCATCCCTGGAAGTGTTCAAGGCCAGGCTGGATGAGGCTTGGAGCAACCTGGTCTAGTGGAAGGTGTCCCTGCCCATGGCAGGGGGGTTGGAACTAGGTGGTCTTTAGGGTCCCTTCCAACCCAAACCCTTCTATGATTCTATGACAATGCTGAAAACTGTCCTCATTAAAAGTAACTAAATGGAATTAATTATTTTTCTGCTTTAAACAGATATATGGTGGTTTTAGGAGTCTTGCCAAACTATGGAGTGGTTTCTTTCAGTGCTTGTATTGTTCGAGATTTTTATATTGTTCTGTTTTTTTCTTGTTTGTTTTTGTTTTTTTTTAGCTTCCCCATACACCACATCAACTCCAAATATTAATAGCGTGAGGAATGCTGACTCAAGAGGCTCTCTTATAAGTACAGACTCAGGAAACAGTCTTCCAGAAAGACACAGTGAAAAGAGCAATTCCCTAGACAAGGTAAAAAAAAAACAACCCAAACCGAAATAAAAAAAACAAAGTGCATTTCTAAAATTAACTATTAATTCTCATGAGTTAACTTCTGTATTCTGCATTGGGAATGGGCTTTCTAGAATAACTGTAGAGCAGAATTTTATGTAAGTTTTTCCTTTTGCAAAATAATTATCATATGAACTCTTTTTGCATTGCCTTTATTAAGTTGTTTTGTAGAAAATACAAGGTTTTCAGTGTAGGGACAGAAACAAGCAGTTGTTTCCTTTGCTAGAGAAAGGCTCTAGGTGCAGTGTATTGAATTTCTCTTGAGAACTGAATGCTAGTTAGGACATGTTTCTGTTTTGTGGAGACCTTCACTCCATCTTGTTCTGTACACAATATAAGTAGCATTTAAAAAAATGTTTAAAAATTACTTTCTGTGTTTTTCCTCTAGGTAACTTCTTTTATATAATTAGTTTGACTTTTCAAAATCGTTTCACTTTAAAGCTGTTACAGATTAGGAGCTCTGGCTGCAGTAGCTATGAGGTGTTCAGTCATGTCTTTCTAGAGCTTGTGTTGATACTGATCACGTTTTCTTACATCTTGTTGTGCAAGTCACAACGTCTTAACTTTTTCCCCTTGACTCTGACATGCCTTCGTGTAGCAGAGAGAGAAGCTTCTCAGAAGGCACTCTGCTCATGCTATGCGCCCTAACGGAGAAGAAGAAGAAAATTCTCACCCTGCAAAGAAAAACCGTGTTACTATGGATTTTTCACTTCTGACAATTCCGGCTTTGCCAGAGAAAATTTTGCATGCCGCTTTCTCTCTTCAGTTACAAGAAGTATTTGGTTTTTGTGCTTGGTATAGTTAAGCTTCGGAGTGAAGTGTGTGATCAGTAGTTTTGCCACTTCTTTGCAACAGTTGAATCTGAAGGCAAATTCGTACCATGTAACCATGCAAAATACCATTAAATGCCAAACCTGGAATAGCTCATGTACGTGACTCAATTTAAGCACAGAAATCCAATCAGCTTAAATATCAGCAGAATTTGAGTCTTAGGGTCTTTAATATAAATAGAACTAAAAAATCTTCTTTGACATTGACCAAGTAAACAAAGAAATATCTTGTGCATACACTGTTGCTAAATGGCAATGCTGTCATCTATTACCTAGTTGTCATGTTGTTAATTACTAATGTGTAGTGGTTTTACCAAGTAAAAGAGTTTTCAAAGGAGTCAACATCCTTTGAAAATTCTAATCTGGCCTGCCAATTTAGGTAATACAGGATTTATGTTTTGCATGCTGTTAATATTTTTCCCCAACTAATACTTAATCCTGGCTTCTTATTCATTGTTTTTCCAAACTTTCTTTCTAGTAGATCAGTTGTTCTGTGCACGCTATCTTCGAATTTTTGCTCATTGCTTGATATCATTACTGAAGAGCCATGTTTTTGTTCTAATTGTCTTTCAGAATAACCTGTAGAACTATACTTTTGGAGTCAGAATTGACTGGAAGTATTTCAGTTTCTATTTTATCATGTGCATCCTTTTTAGGTTATTGACATGGTATTTTAATTAAGCTTGAGAGTAGCTATAGTCGTAGTTTTTTATCCATGTACATGGTCAAGTCTTTTAAAGGGATATTATCTAGTGTGCTAGACAGCATCTGAAAGTCTAGGTAACTCAAATTCTGTTTCTGCTCTGGCACCCATTAACTGCCTGCTGTATTTCAGTATCCAAAAAGCTGTATCGCAATACCTCCTTGTTCACCAGAGGTACTTCAAAGACAAACAGTTTGTGAGTTACCCAGTTCAGAATCTGCAATAATCAGGCTTATGTAGGTGTCCATTTTCTCCTAAATTAACTAATTCCTGGCTCGTATTAGTCATTGATTCACATTCACTTTCACTAGACATCCCTTCAGTGACAGACTTGCACAGATTGTTTTAGGACAGCAGTTCTCTCCTTTTATGTGGACCCGGCAGTCAGTTGATGGGTGAAATGTTCCCTCGTGGATTAGCCTGTCTCTTGCTTTCAGTGAGGAGTGTTCCTGAAAGGGTTGCTCTACCCTTGAGGTGTTGGTGCTTCTTGCTTTGTTTGTGAAACCAAGAGTTTTTCTCCCTTGAGTCTATATATTATTTTTTGAATCCTAATTTTGATATGAAGGATTACTTCCAATACTGGCATGTGCCCTTAAAAAGGGTTGGGGAGCCAAGATGATCTAGTTTTCTCTTAGAAACGAAAGAGTTGCACAGGTCAGTTGCATCAGACTGTTGACTTTACAGAAAACTTATGTCTGGTCCATTTTCCATTCGCTTAAGTGACTTCATATTGGAAGTGAGAAATAAGCATTAAAAAGGGCATAATATATCCTTTAAACAAACATTTATGTAGTATATCTGTAAAAACCTCAGACTGGGGATTTTGTAACACTTGATTGTGTGGAAATTATTCTTTAACAGCTAAGTCTTTGCATGAAGTTCTGTTTATATATTCTCATCCTTTTTTTTGCCTTTTTTTATGGTACACATTTTGAAAGATAAGTTATAGGGTGTTTTGTCGGGTTTTTTTGGGCTGACTTAAGTATTGAGCATTGCTGATTAACTTTTCACAAGTGTAAGAATTCTATCACCAAATGAAGGAGGGAAGATGATGTTGGTTTTTTGGTTTTTTTGTTTTTGGTTTTTTTTTTTCCCCCCCACCCCTTGAGGCAAGGGCAAGTTAGTTATTAGTAGTTAATATTCCAAAACGTGTATTATTGCCATTCATGTATACTTTCCTTGGGGTTCTTTCATCTTTAAATGGAAAGAATTTTGTAGAGTCAGGTCTGTAAGCAGTTCGGCATAAAGTCTCTTCAAAAGCAAAGGAGCACATATCTATCAACTACCAGTAGCATTTATTTTCTAAGTATTTCATCTAAGCAGAAGGGGCATGTCTGATTTCTACAATATGGGTATCTATGTATAATTAAGTTGAATAATAATCACTGTTAGATAACTTTTCTTCTTATTCCTCCCTCTGGGGGGAAGAAAATCATACAAAGAAGGAAATAAAAATAAACAAAAATGAGGAGTCTTAATTTGGTATACTTCATGTGTGTAATGTATGTTTTAGTGACCTGTCTCTACGTGACATTTTTGTCTCCATTCTGAGATCCTTTTTCTGTTGCAGGAATTAGTAAGGCAATTTAAAATGTTTTAGTTTATTATCACTTTAAGAACTCTTGAGCCAAAATATGTCTATTTTTCTTTCAGAATCAACAGAGCAGCACTGTAGGAAGTTCTGTAGTTCGATATGACAAACTTGACCAAGCAGAGATCAAAAGTCTGCTCATGTGTTTCCTTCATATTTTAAGAAATATGTCAGAAGGTAGGTAATTCCACCCATTTTTCATAAATTTGAAATCAGGTATTGGATTTCTTGCTGTGATTTTAATACCTTTTCAAAATCAGATTATTTCATGTGTAGTTACCATGTTGTCCTCCATTTTACAAATACGTGTGTTTGATCAAACTGAACTCTGAAACCTTGAAAGCATTAAATATTCATGATTCTTTCAAAGCGTGAGGCTAACTAAAGGACTTTGTAAGAGAGCAAATATTTGTGTGTGATTGTACAGTCTGGTTTGGAAATCGGACATGAAGAATTGATCAGTAGAACAGCCTTGGCATAGTCCACTTCTCTGTTCTGCAGAACGCCCTGTATGACAGGGAACCAAATTAAATGATCACCATGTATGATTCCATTTCTGGAATGATGGTATTAGTGCTTCTTCATTCTCCTGGATTGTTTATGAGATGATCCATTGAATTTTTGAGTCATATTAGCCTGGAAAAAGTTGCGGAGGTATAGAAATACTAAATGAATGTCAAATCCTAATTTTTTACTAGGACCTTAGAACTTATTGATCAATGATAGGGATGAATTTATTTTAAGAGGAGGTAAGTCCCTTCTGGTAAAAAAAAAAAAAAAAGATTTTTCAGTTTATGCTGAACAAGAGTAGTTAATTATTTTCCCTGACTATGTTAATGTTAATTACCAAAAAATGAGTTTATGTTGTACTTTAACTCTAATTTATTGCACCACTTAATCCAGAATGAGAATTGATAGTAAGTTTTCATCACACCATTAGTTTTTCATTTCATTACATAGATAGTATTTTATGCATTTTAATTACAAAGGATAATAAACCCTCAAAATATCTCTTTCACTATTTTGCACTTTGAAATATGTAAAAATCAGTCAGAATTTCTAAGAAATTCAAGTTAAAATTTACATAAGCATAGTGGGACTCTTTTTGGTCTCAATTCTCCTGTAAAAGAACATGTCAAATAAACTTTGCCACACGTCTTTGTAATCATTTTGAATTTGTTAGCTAATTTTGAATATTTTTGGCAAAAGAAACCAGGTCTTGGCTATGCAACTACAAGCTTTGCAAAAAATATATAACCGTTTTTGAAACCTGTGCAAATGAAGAAAATCTGAAACCTGTACTGAAAAACTATCCATAGTAAAGCACTGTAAATTAAAGAAGAAAAAGAAATAATTAATTTGAACTTAAAAGATGTTGAGACCAATCTATAAAGAAGCAGGTTGTAGGATTAACAGTCCAAATTATTATGAAGTTTTATATTTTTAGAACATTGTAGTCACTACTGACTACACAATTATTACTATGGAAAATATGAAGTTGTATGGGAATACTATGGGTTAATTAAAAGAACAGTGTACGAATTCATTTAGAGAATTGATATGTGCATTTATATAATCAGGTTCAAGGAAAACTTTAAATAGTAACAGTTATCCATACCCCACAAGCCATTTTTAGATTCTCTGAATCCTCATTATCTGAAAACTAAGAACTGATGTTAACTCATCTACTTAATATTTTTATGTATTTGCTGCCTCTGTTTTGTTGTTAATATTCTTCATTTTCCCAGATGCACTGTTTACATACTGGAACAAGGCTACAAAATCTGAACTCATGGACTTTTTCACTATTACAGAGTAAGTCTATAGTTGAACTTGTCATTAAATCATACAATTTGCTACACTGTTTAAAAACATGAGTGTGGATATATGCGGGTGTGTGGGTTGGGTTTTTGTTTGTTTGGTTGTTTTTTTTAAAAAAAACTAATACCGTCTTGGTCTCTTTATAGAAAGCCTTATCTTGATGTGCACAATTGCATGTCTGTCAAATTCCATGGTAATTTCAGGAGCTGGGGTGTATAGTAGTGATCTCAGGAAGTTCCTGAACAGCCAGCAGAGCTCAGAATATTGCTGTGCTCATGGAATAGGAACCAACTGTCTTGTTACCTGTCTGCCTTAAAATGCATCTTGAACTGTGAACTGCTGAAATAACTTTGTTGTGTATCAAAATGGATTGAATTGCTTAGCTTCAGGAACAAAAGGATATGAACTATCCTCCTCGCATTCCTCTCATGCCTTCTGCCATCCTGTAAGGAAAAAAATATAGGGCAAATCCAGCATTTGTTAGCAGTGGCTACACTCCCATCCATATGCACACTTAGTGTGTTTGTTCATAAGAATTGACTGATAGATGAATAAAAGTGAACAATGTGCTGTTTGCTGGAAGTGGTGCACCACGGAAGCCTTTCTGCTTGGCTTGCTGCTTCATTAGACTGCTTTCTTTTGTTTCAGTAGTAGAGGATCAATCAAAATAATGCCAGTCATTCATTATGCTATGGAACATGTTACTATTTTAAGGAATATATTGTCAATAGTGTTTTAACTCATCATTTAAGTAGATCTAGCATGATATTGATTGTACCAGAGACAGAACTGGATTTCATACACCTCTGGCTTCGGAGAGTGTAAACTGTACAGAATCAGTTGTAAACACTATTTTGCTGTTAGTGACTTCTTATTGACATCCTGGATAGAATTAGTTTGTGATAAAAGGAGTAATCTCAAGTTTCTAATTGTCAAAGATGATTTCCATCACAATAGCATTGTATGGTATACAGACTAAATTTTCCATCCTGTAAGTACAGTGGATGATATCAAAGTTCCTTAAACTAGAGCTCATAAAAGCCTACCTCTTCTGATTCTAGTAGTATTTTAGCAACAAAAACCATTTGTTTTGATGATGTTTTTTATTAATACAGGATATTACAGTAGTTTCTCATTACATCAGTAAGTGTTTCTGGTAGATTGATACTCACCATGCAAAGTAATTTATCAGAAAAACTTAGAATCTAAAACTGGCAAGAAGGTACTAAACAGGGGAATTGAGGTGAGTTTGTGAATAGAGTGAGAAGTTTGGGGGAGGTAAACACCATCGTGACTGCAGTTTGGAGACAGCTAATCTGCTTAAGGTCCAGAGCTGAGTTCAAAGAGACAAAATGGAGCTGAGTTCAAGAGACTTTGCCAGCCTTCTCCCTCATTCACAACTAGCACATGAAACAGAGTGCCGGAGAACTGGCTTTCAGTTTGGAACTACTGAAGAAAGAAGAACTTTCAGAATATTCTTATCCGTGGGGCAAGGGAAATTGCATTAAGTGTTCTGAATTTTCAGGATAAGTACAGTGGGAAGAGAGTCAGATAAAATCATTGTTACAGCCTCCATTCACACCACTTTTCTTGGTTTGAAACTGTGACTTCTAGTTTATTAGTTATCAATGTTGTACTTACCCGTTCTGAGAAGAAGCAGAGGTACTTGGCAAATTAGGTTATACTTTCAATTTTCTTGCTGGATCGGAACCAGTAGTATTATGATTATGTACAATATATGTTCATATTGAAGTATAGATTTTATTTTTTTTTACTGAAAAATTATGCAGGGGGTGGGGGTGTGTGAAGAGAATTTCCTTTTATCATCATCTTACTGTAAAAGCAGATTCCCTTTAGAAAACAGTTCTGTCAGAAACCCTGTGGTTATCATGGAATCTGGAGACCTTAAAAGAAACAAAACAAAAAAAATCCTTACATGTACCCACAGTTTAGGCCAAGGGGAAAAAAGCAAAATGTCCCTTATTCGGAACCATTATACATCTTTTGCAAAATATGTATATATATGTAATGTCTGGTTATCTTTGTTTCTGTCCTTTATTGTTACTTTTCCTGGATTGCTGTTTGTTTGTAATTAACTGTGGGCCTCATTTCACATAATGAAATTTTCTCTATGGTAGCTGAGGCTAAACATCTCTATAAATAGAATCATAGACTCACAGAATGGTTTGGGTTGGAAAGGACCTTAAAGACCATCCAGTTCCAACCCCCCTGCCATGGGCAGGGACACCTTCCACTAGACCAGGTTGCTCAAAGCCTCATCCAGCCTGGCCTTGAACACTTCCAGGGATGGGGCATCCACAGCTTCTCTGGGCAACCTGCGCCAGTGCCTCACCACCCTCTCCAGGAAGAACTTCTTCCTGATATCCAATCTAAATCTCCCCACTTTCAATTTAACCCCGTTACCCCTTGTCCTGTCACTACAGGCCCTTGTAAAAAGTCCCCCCCAGCTTCCTTGTAGCCCCTTCAGGTACTGGAAGGTGCTATAAGGTCTCCCCGGAGCCTTCTCTTCTCCAGGCTGAACAAGCCCAACTCTCTCAGCCTGTCCCCATAGCAGAGGTGCTCCCGCCCTCTGAGCATCTTTGTGGCCTCCTCTGGATATTAAAATAATGAATTAAAATATTAAAATTCTCTGCAAGATGAAGCACTTGAACCTCCTGCTTACAGTTTACTAATGTGTCTTGGTTTTTTGACATTTTGGTCCTTCTACCTTGTCACTGTTAGACTCTCAGGGCTGATTTGATTCAGAGTGTTGAGATGGTTGTGCTCTGGTGGCAGACTTAGGTGTCGTATTTGCCCTAAACAAAAACCGTTTGTGACTGATTTCAGAAGATACTTGTTTAGCTTTTCTTGACTTGGGTACTGGAAGGGAATTTTAAGGGTGGGAGAAAAAAAAAGTTTTACAATCTAAGAGTTTAACTGTAAACAAAAATAATAGCTGAATAATTCCAATGTATGTAAATCTAGGAGAGATTGGTTTAAGCGTTGCTTTTCTGACTTATGTGTTCTCTGCAGAGTATGCTTACATCAGTTCCAGTACATGGGAAAGCGATACATAGCCAGGTACTGTGTGGAATTTAGATTTTACTGTCTTGTTCCCGAAGAATAATAGTGTGTATAATATGTCTTGAATCTCTATTACAAATAAATTGCATGAGTAGAAGAGTTGCTGTGAAATGATACATAACAGTTTGAAGTAAGTAGCTGGTTACGGTATTAACACACCTGTATGCTGTCTGAAAGTCTGCTATCTGGTTAAGAATGATGTCTGTGTTGTATTTCTTGTCAATTACTTTAAAATCCATCCTTTAAATGCTATCTTTTACAGTATTTTTTTCCTGGAAATAGTGTCTTTGGGGAAGAAATGTTATTATTTAATTGTTTTGTTTATTCACTTGGCCATAAATTTATAAGACATTTCAACATGGTTTTATTATCTAATGTTTTTACTGAAAGGTCAGTAGTGACCATTCCAATGCTGCTGGCTTCCAATTGGAAGTCTGAAGTACTGTTAGATACCTGTATGTTCCTGTGGAAGGCTGTTTAGGAGAATCTGTGGGAGTCAGGATCACGTACTAATATTATTTGACTATCTTCACATTAATATGGTTTTTAATGCAAAGTACTTTATGAAAAAAGTACAGCAACTTGTGTAGGCCTTACACTGTGATTGACATGGTAATACGGTTATAATTAAACTTGTGGGGTTGAAATACTGGTCCTCTTAACTCAGTGAGGAAGTTGTTGCTGACTTTGGGTGGTAAACTTTAACTACACTGTTAGCTTTTTTGTTTTAATTTAGATTTAATAGTGTGTGAATCTCTTTCTACAAACAACAAACTCGAGAAATCTCTAAGGAGATAGTCAGGAAAAAAAGGAATCTCTGTTCACATACCCTAAAAATATCAAAGGCCAAAATAAATCTGCCTTTCTTGATGTTTTGATTGTAAACTTTGTGTTTTAAATGTACTTTAAACTCTGGGTTTACAGGAGGTTAATTTTCAGGCTTTTTGTCAAAATTCTTCAAACTAATTTGACTAGCTGATAGAGAAAACTACCACACTGTCTTTTTGTTTACTGATCACTTAGTCTGTCTATTGCATGTTAATGCTAAAAACATTAAGCTATAGAAATGCTCTGGTGTTCTGCAGACATACTGAATTTTCCCAGTAAATGTATCTTTCTAGTCTTTCACATTGTCATTACACTGAAGTAAATCACAATCTATGCACATACTCTTAAAATACACAAATGATAGCATGAAAGGGAACAGGGAATTCTGTAATTCAAGCACTGGTTTTCATTTTTTATCAGCTCTGGTGGTGGTACACAATAGGAAGTTAGCCTGTACTGATTGCTAACACAGATCACTTTTCTGTTTTCTTCACTTGATTGCTGCAAGTTTAACAAAGTATATGGCTCTTCTCCCTTCCTGCTTGGGTAAGATGTACATGATAATACCTCAATTAATCCCTGCTCTTCTGTTGCATGTATGCTTTCTAATTTTACCACTGTGTGTCGTTCTGACTCTTTTTTCTAAAATTTTTACAATCAAAATAGAGGATTTGCTTTTGAGTTCTGAGTATTGTCAGAATATTTGTTTTCAGAAGCTCTGAAGTAAGTTTAGCACTTCAAGAGCTACTGCTTGTGTGCTTTTGCTCTCATGTTTTGAGGTTTTAAGAAAGAGTTTGCTGTGATGCTTTTTCTTAAGCCACCTATTTTTGTTTTATAAATAAAACAGTAAATAGGTTGCATTATGATTCTTTCTATAAAACTTCCTGTGCTTAACTAACACTTCCTGTCTTGCTGCAGTTTGACATGTCTAACTTTTGCTTCTATCCCATTTCACCCATCTTGCAGGAACCAGGAGGGGTTGGGATCCATAGTTCATGATCGAAAATCTCAGACATTACCTGTTTCCCGTAACAGAACAGGAATGATGCATGCCAGATTGCAGCAGCTGAGCAGCCTGGATAACTCTCTCACTTTTAACCACAGTAAGTCTCATGACATGATAACATTCATCATCCTCAACCAGTACCACAACACCAGAGACAGGTCCCAGAGCCACACCAGTGCATTTTAATGACTTTTACTGTTCTAGGTCAAACGAATAGCTGGAACCAGTCGATGGTCTGTTCCCTGCTTTATAATAGAACGGTCAATGCTGGCTGATGCCATAACATGGAGCATGGTTAACTACAGCATATTTTAAAGTTGTATTTTAATTTTTTTCATTACATGCACTTTGACTTTGTGCTGCTTGTAGTTACAAAATATACTAATTTTTTTCCTATTTGCTTCATTAAGGTTCATTTTTCCTCCCCCACTTGATCTTATAAATGATTATTCTAAAAGTAAAAAATATGCCCTCTGACCATACCTCCATGTTTTGACATCCCCCAAGGAGAAATAAGTTTCTTAGAATTTCTACAGAAATTATGAAGCCCATGATTTGGTTTGTGTGGAAGTGAAAAAGCGTCCAATAATGAAGTGATTTTTCTGTTTTCAGTGTGAGAAAAATATCAAGTATTCTTGGAATTTCTGTAGACAATGGTAAGATTTAATTAGGCTGAAGTCAGCTTGTATAAGACTGCTGTATTGAAAACTAAATCTGCTTGTGGCCTATCTTTTTAAACATGCTGCTCTTAAATTGCAAAATATACTGTACGAGAAGTATTCTGAAGCACCATTTTTCAGTTTTCAGCTTCACAAAACAATGAAACTGGTTTTGATTAATCCAGTAAAATATAACACTGGTACTGAAAAGAACTGTGTGCAGTAAAGCAATTGAGTTAACTGTACGTTCACTGTGTTCATCCTTTTATTTCCCAAAGCATATCTAACTGTTCCTTAAAATCTTTTAGCTCATTATCTGTAATGTAAAGCCCCAGTTGCACAAGACTTACCATATGGTCTAGTGGAAAACTGAAAAAAAATTCTACCAAACCCCTCTGTTTATAAATGCATCGTCTTACCTGTTCAAATATAAGTAATACAATTCTCTGATTGTAAAATCGTCAGAAAACTGTATAGTTGTGCAAATTATGGGTTTTTTTCTGGTAATCAGTCTGCTACTGCTGTATCATGATAATTTTTCTGATACACAAAACAGTCATTAGGTGACGACACATTCAATAAGGTAAAATATTTTGGAGATAAAGACTTAAAAAAAATCTCTGGGAGATAAATAACACTGCTGTTTCTGGGCCCTGTGCAAAGAGATTTTGTATTTCCAGAACTTTGCCAACTTTACTGATTTTTTAGGAAACGGTGAGCTGAAAGATTTTAATAAATGCATGCTTATGTAAAAAGAAACTTTCTGTTCTTTTCCATCTGAAGGAAATTATGAAGGAAGGTGTCTCATTCAGTTAACTGCATAGTGGTAATAGTTGGGTTTTTTTTTTTAATTGTTGGACACAATGAAAGTTATACCTCGTGTTGAACAAGGTTTTACAGGGTGAAAATACATTGCTATAAAAGCTATGTCAAATGTGAAATTGATCTTTATATCTTTGGCCTTGTTGTCGTTTTAGCTTGTTTAGTTGTCAGTCTGCTTGTATCATGTATCCAAAGTGTAGTTTTCAGAACCTGAATAAATCTTGCAGGTATCCTGTATGTACATACAGGAAGGACAGTCTGGTGGAAAGAGTTGCTTTACTTGTTTCTGAAATCATGAATCTTTGACAAGATAACTGTCTATAAATAGAAATTATAAACTTAATTTCTCCCTTCCTAATAATTTAAGCAAGGAGAAGAACTAGAACCAAAGTAAAGGTTTAAGGGATATTTCACATCTCTGAGGAATTTCAGCGTAAGTTTTATGCTGAAGCTTGAAAGAAATTAAGGACGTTGTTAAAATTTCTAAAGCATCTCTACAAACTACAGAAATGTAGGTTTATGTGAGTGTTGTTGGGGCTGGAGGAGAGGAGGGAGTTCAGTAGAGTAGTGACATGCAAACATACTGAAATACAATAGAGAGGCCCTGATCCATGATAGCAGTATATGATCATTGTCAAGCTCATAGTCACAAGAGTTTAGACCTTTTCAGTGTTCTTTAGTGGGTTTAAATCCAGTTACTCTGCAGTAGCGTGGATGTGTGGGTGCGTGTTCATGTGTGTGTCCAGGCAGATGTCTGTGTTGTGTGTGGTAATTGTAGCTTCATAGCTTCTTGTTAAGTTACATGTGAAAAATAAAATCCAGTATGTTAGTTATACATGAAGAAACCAACACTGTCTTCTCTAAAATAATAGCAAATTGAAATAAGGATTTTTTTTAGCAAGTATATGGAAAAAGCACTGCTAAATAAGTCTTCTAACTCAACCCAATTGAGTGTTGCTATAAGTTTGCATCCTGTCCAAAACTTCTGTCTCTAATAATATGGTGGAGTAATCAATTCATAACCCATTTATTTTTTTTGTTCTAAATTATTTATGTGAAAAGCAAAATTTGAACTTATTGGGAAGTCTGTTTCTTGACTACCGTTTTTACTTAGTATTTATAATAAGCCTTGCACCTTTCTTATCTGCAAGAGCAAACCAATTATTTCTTTAAAGAATATTTCCCCAGTCCTCAGTGTAGTTCTTAAAATGGTCATCATCTCTTGGGATATTCAACATTACTGAAACCACAGCCTAATTTAAGGATTTCTGGTCACCCAAATGTGATTGGTATGAAAAAAGATTTTTTAAGATTTCTTTAAGAAAAAGAAGAATAAAAAGAAAAATATTTGGGAAATGGGTGTTGTGATACAACTTTCTCCCAAATGCCAGTTCTTCCTTTCCATCGTTACAGAGGTGAAGGATGTAGTTGGATTGAAACCACAAAGATGATACAGGGGAGAGGAAGAGGTGGAGGCAGAGAGAGTGCAAAAGATAGAGGTGTATACTTCCTAATAGAAAGAATAGTTAAATCCAAAGAAACTGGTGATTATGGTGCATTTGTAGTTCAGCTAGGAAAGCAAGAAGGTGCAGAAAGAAATGGCCAGGTGTCATTATAAAAGAACACATAATTTCTTTTCTTCTTTTTTTTAGGCCTCAACAGGTTTGTCATGTTTGTCATTGATTTAGTGATGCTAAGTTGACTGTAAATCTAATATATAAACCTGATCCAGACCAAATTTTTATAAAGTAATGAGGGCATATTTGTCAATCTTCAAGATTACTGTTAGGGAACATAAACAACATATTATAACCAGTGTTGAAGCAGGATATGTTTTTTAAATTATTTAAATACAGTATTAGGCTAGAAATGATAAAATATTTTGATTAAATATTGAGTTATTGCATGGTATTGCTACAGAGCAGAATTAATTTGGGTAATCTTCAAATTAATTAATTTGGGTAATCTTCAGCTGCATAGTACATGATTGTATTCCTTCAACTCTTAGTGTTTTGTATTCTTATAATGATTGATTTATGATTGACTTTGATCGTTTTAACATCGCTAAATTACCAGTACATATTTTCAGCTGTAGCTCCATTCCTCTACAGTACTACTTTTAAGAATATATATGTGCGTATATATATAACTGTGTATTTATATATATACATGTGTGTATACATAGGTACACATATATATGAAAAATCAGACATTTAGTGTTTTAACTGCTGTTTAATGCTTCTATTGTTGACATTTGTACTTAATGTATTTTATGATCTTGTGCAAATCATTAGAATAATTATGTGCACATATTTGAAGAATATTTAAATACATATAAACTGTTTTTCTCTGTTGAATACTAACTTCTGTCAGGCTTTTTACTTGCTAATCTTTTCCTAGTTCAGCAAGTCTTTTGGAAATAAGAAACTTTAAATGAATATATCCTGCACTTACACTCCATTTGAAATTTCTGTAGGCTATGGCCATTCAGATGCAGATGTTCTTCACCAGTCTTTACTTGAAGCAAATATTGCCACTGAAGTTTGCCTTACAATTCTGGACACGCTGTCATTGTTCACAATGGCTTTTAAGGTTTGTTCTTGCTTGACTTGGTGTTAACATCTCCCATAATTACCTTTCTGAAAAAAGTATATTAAAAAAAATAGAATTATATTTTATAGTTTAGGAACACAGGATTGTATTTTTAGCACTTCTAGCATTATATTTCATTATTGTGTCATGTAAAAGCTGGTAACCTCTCACAGCAGAATGCTTTGGCTTCAGTTACACAGACTCCTTAGTGATCAGCCATAATCTGTAGGAAAAGCTCCTTCCTCATCCCAACTTCCTAAAAGTATTTATATAAAATACAGTGTCTACCTAATATTAATGATAAAATTGTCTTTTAAAGGCCATGTGGAGTGGAAGATCTATTGTATAGCAAAACCAAAATTCATAATTGGACACTATCAGACTTTATTAACACTTATTAATTAAGAGTAATTTGTGTGTTCCTTTTCTGTAACTTTTTTCAATTTGTCCACTAATAAGACCTTTTTTTACAGTTGTAACAGTTACTGTAGCTCTCCTGTGGAATCTTTTTATACCATGCCCACTTGCATACCTCTCCTGTCTGATTTTTTTTTTTGAGCTTTTCTAAACATTAAAGGTGAAGCTATAAAGAGGAGATATGCCAGCCCTAGCTTCTTTCTCCCCTAATTAGAACAGTGGACCTCTTTGTATCCAGATCCTTGCTTGAAGATTCCAATGTAGTGTCTTATTTTTAGTCTAGTTATGAAAACATGAGCTTATTTATAAGAAGTGCCTTTTATTAGTAACTTAATTAGAGTTTAGAACCAGCTCTGTCTACAGACCTCATGACAGACTTGAAAATGAAGTTACCTAGTTTAAAAGATTTAAAGAAGAATGAACACTAATCTTTTAGTTATCAGCTGCTCATCACACTTGGGACAGTCCTTTAAGGTTGTCTGTATGTAGTATGTTGAGACAGTAGGTAAGAGTATACCTGAATAGTCTACAAGATCGAAAACAGGTAGGAGAATCAGGAGCTTTTTCATCAACTGCACTAAAATACATAAAATCATAGAATTGTAGGATAGTTTGGGTTGGAAGGAACCTTGAAAGATCATCTAGTTCCATCCCCCCTGCCATGGGCAGGGACATCTTTCACTTGATCAGGTTGCTCCAAGCGCCATCCAACCTGACTTTGAAAGTAGCCAGTGATGGAGCATCCAACAGCTTCCCTGGACAACCTGTTGAAGTGTCTCACCACTCTCACTGTTAAAAAAATTCCTCTTTATGTCCGATCTGAACCTACCCTCTTTCAGTTTAAAACCATTGCCCCTTGTCACTACAGGCCGTAGTAAAAAGTCTGCTCCATCTTGCGTATAAGCACCCTTTATATTTTGAAAGGCTGTGATGAGGTCTCCCTGGAGCCTTCTCTTCTCCAAGCTAAACTGCAACTCTCTCAGCCATTCATTATAGGAGAGATGCTCTAGCCCTCTGACCATTTTTGTAGCTCTCTTGTGGACCCGCTGTAACGTGTCCAGGTTTTTTAATGTACTGGGGGCTGCAGACCTAGACACAGCACTCCAGGTGTGGGGTCTCACAAGAGCCGAGTAGAGGGGGAGAATCCCCTCCCTCGACCTGCTGGCCACACTTCTCTGGATACAGCCCAGGATATGGCTTGCTTTCTGGGCTGCAAGCACACATTCATTGAATTGTATCGTAGAATGGTTTGGGTTGGAAGGGACCTTAAAGACCATCCAGTTCCAACCCCCCTGCCATGGGCAGGGA